AATGAAAAAAAATAATAGATGCTAATACTGTATAAGCTATCGTGCCATTTAGTCGTGTGGGAACTTTTTACTTTTTCAAACTCCCTTTTTTTCATGTACCTAACAGCTAGAGTATTTTTCTGTTTAGTTCGAGAAACTTGCAACTAAAGAAAATCACTTTTGTCACAAAATTTAATTAAACTCCTAAGGAGTGTACGGAAATCACTAGGACAATTTATTTTACGAGTCATTTACTTTTACTTTAACTCGTATTACTTGTAATATTATTAATTTAAAAAATAACTATTTTCTTTAGACAACAAGAGTTAAGATTAATTCTTTGAGTTTTAAAACACAAATTGAGTCCTATTGATTACAAATTTGCAAAAAAAATAAAAAAATGGTAACTTCTATTTTGTCTCATTACTCAACTAAAATCGTACTATCCATTTTTCTCTGCGAGTTTTTTTTTAAATCTAAGCAAATTTAAGTTTGATTTATTCTTGGCAACTTGAAGCATTGTTGTCAACTCTTTTTTTCGCCAGAAAGTAGCTAATTTTACAATTAAATTTTACAATTGTCCCTATTATGATATTTATATTTCATCATACTTGTTTCTTTAATTTTTTTTTCTCAATTGTAAGCTTTAATGGTAGAAATTTTGGTTTTTGATGGTGTGCTTTAAATTTACGATTGTTATTCTAATTTTAAAATATGGTTTTTAATTTTTGAATTACTTTGTTCTATAAAAAGATTATAAGACCAAAATGTACGTAGTTATGAAACGTTATACCTATTGGTCCTAATCATGTCCCTATTAATAAAAATTTTTTTAAAAATTTAAATNAAGTATAATATTTTAAGACAACTAAAGTTTTTTTACTTGTATAACACTATTGTATTTAACAGAAATAATTATAACATTTATTTATTTACTAGAATTGAATAAATTACTTGTTGAAGTTAAGTAGGTATCATAATATGTACAGTTCAAAAGATAGGTTATGTTCAACTTTGTCCCAATTTATGGAATAATCTTAAAAATTGATCATTGATGGTATGAACAATAAAACTTTTCTCATAAATTCATACAGATAATTTAAATATACAACAACCACAACTTTTTTATTAAGTTAGTTGCAATAACAAGTATATGAATTTTCGTATTTCATGAATAAAGACATTTACCTTAATAATATTATAAGATCTTACAAGTCAAAATAACGCGACCGGTAATGTAGGTTACTTTAATGACATATATGGACTGTCCTCAAAAGGTAAATTTAATTCCGTGCATACCCCCCTGGAAAGTGCTTCATATCTGCCCTGCTCCAAAACAGATAATCAGCTTTTTCGACGAGGGTATGCAGAAAAATAGTATACGCACCACGTTCGGAGGTTAAGAAATACCCAATATTTTACGTTCATTTACATGAAATCTGCGACATTCTTAACCTCGCTCATTAAGTGCGTAATATGCTATATAATAGTACATAATCATGCACAAGAAGTTGAACTTCTTATTTTCAATATTTCAAAGTAAAACAGTAGAGCCGTGTATATCGTACCTCGTGTTGGACACCTCGATGAGTCTCCGAAAGACGCTCGTGTTGAAGCTGTTTAAAATATTCTTCGTGTCTTGGCTGATGTACGGTACAACGCCGGATTCCACTAATTCCTGGAGTGTGTCGAAGGTGCGAAACGACTCGCTCCAGAGGTGCTTGACGAGATGCTCGATCGCACGGACGAAAAATGCCGACGAAACGAAACCCAGGCACAAAAAGACTATGCGCTCGGAGATTTTTTTGGGTTTGCGGATCATCAGGCCCTGCAGCAGGACGATCGCGATGTTGTGCGGCGTCCAAATTTTTTTGTCGAATCCAAGCAGGTACACGACCAGGGTTATTAAACCCGTTAGTGTGAGTACAACGCTGGTCACGAGGCCGACGTCCTGAGATATGTGGATGTACGAGTTGCTGCGCTGCTTGACTATCAGGTGACTCGAGTACGGGTAGATGAATGTACTGGAATGTAAATCTATGAGTTGAGTATTGGAAAATGGTATCTATATAATATACATACTTATTATGTGTTAGCGAAACCATCTTTTTTATTTTCCATATTATTTTTCGTTTTATTAACCAACTCTATTTTGCTTCCCCCAAACTGTTACCCGTGAATTTATAGATGGCAAAAAAAAAATTTCATTTAATTGTTCATACGCGAATTTATTAAAAGTCAAAGTTAACTTTTACACACTTTTCTATACTAAAAAATGTCTTTGTATGAAATTTAAAATAAATATTAGTAAAAAATTTGTTTCTTACTTACATGTATACCATGTATTTTTTTCCACCACATATCTCTTCGTCTAGGTTTTATCAAAAAGACTTAACAGAACTCCTGTTTAGTTACATTTATTTGTTGATAACAAATTTTTTAAATTTAACTAAAGTAACATTATTATGAGGTTTTCTTAAAAAATAAAATAAGTATATATTTAATTTATATAGATAAGATTTTAAACAATGAAAAAACTTTTCCTCATGGTGTGCTTTTATTTAGGTTTCGGGAAACTAAAACAAAAATGTGATTAATTTCGTATTTTTTTTTTTTTTCTTCACAAGCAAAATTAAACACCACTCCTTTTTTTTATCGCTTAAAAGTCGTTTCATACATCAAAATTCTTTGAAGCATCGAAATATATAAAGTAGTACGAATCGCTTGGTCGAAGTCGAACTCCTTAAAAGCACGAATCTCTACGGCGTTTATATTTTTCTATACCTGTACATATGGATTTGACTTTATTTATAAATATTTAAAGATTTTGTTCGTTAAAATTGGATATTTTTTCTGCTTTTTCATGCATATTCATATATTTATATTCGCTTGTAATTTGTTTGATTGTGCTACTTAGAAATTGTTCCCATAAGACATGTGCTAAATGTACGATTTTTAAAACTACCATTACATTGAAATTTGGTCGTTAACCCACTACGTGATCATAGGTGTGACTGAGTTGGCTCTTGTGTTTATACGTATAAAGATCTGGTCATAACTCAGGTGCACCGATGGCTTAATAAACACTGTGCTTGTGTTAAAGAAAGCCATGTCTGAGCCTACGGGTGATGATGAATAATAAAAAAAAAAAAAAAAGCTAAAATGCTATTGGAGAGCTTCCCAATCTGACCACCAGGTGAGACATGTTTGCTTCGACATCCGTAACTACAATTACCCCGCAAATTACTGACCTTGGCTCGAAAAACAGCTTCTCAAGTCTGGTCGAGCCAATGATGGCGTAAAGATTCACCGAAAAGTCGATCGCCCCCTTTTTCACGGCCTCATCAACGTACAAATTATCATTCGCCGTAAACGCTTGCCAACTCGAGTTCTTCGAATCCACCACATCAACGGCCATTCCGAAATTCAATATCTGAGCCAAAGTTCTGGCGACACGCACATCCATACCGTGCACGAGATCCATAAAATCGGCGCTGGTGTTGATGGTAGCCGTGCGGCTCTCCGGTTTTATGGCCACTCGCAGAATTTCCTCGAACAGACCGACTTTTAGTTGGTAACCGTGCATATTGAGCATTTTATTGGGAAAAAGTTCGGTGTCGATCTTTAAATTACCGCGGGAGTAGACGTTGGAAAATGGATTATACTGGTGCACCAGTGTCCCGTAATCGTCCGCGAATCGGCTACTCTGGAGCACTTCTACGACGACGATGTTCAGGAACTTGCGAGCCCAGGCTTTTTGAAAGAACCGCGATAGGTCCAAACTGTCGCCCGAATGGGTGACTATGAAAAGGCACTTTGGCCTGGTCATTTTGGCCGAAAAGCGAACGAGGATATTCAGGTGCGAGGATAGAGATCGGTCGGTCTCCTCTTCGTTCTCGATCAGGACGATTCTCAGAGCTGTTTGCAAAGACCGCGACCTGAGGTGTTTCGTCTTGATGGTTGCTTCGTGGGGTTTTTTCATACTCAGCGTTGAGTCTGAGTTGACGACGAGAGTGGGAATGAAGCTGGAGACGTTGCGCACGATGGACGAGGATATCGGTAACGACAGGGATACTAATCGCCCGATGCTTATTACCTGCTGCGTTCGCAGGTTTTTGTGCAGGTGAGGGGTTATTTGGTCGATGACCTCGTCTTTCTTCAAAGCTTCCATCGTGGTAATAGCTAGTTTCACGAATATAAAATAGATGATCGAGTTCATTTTACTATTATTTCGAATATTCCAAATCGAATCAAGTCGAAGCACTGACATAATTTCAATGGCTAGATTTTCGAAGCTGTCGAAAAATATGGGTCGATGGCCCATTTTAATGGAGTTGTCTCAAGAGCTTAGTGTACGAGGAAGAATTCGGGCACTTGAGACGACCGACAATAATTACAGATGAGCACGTACGTGTAAATGAACCGTGGGAGATGTTTACTTTGTGAGGGTGGATTTTTTTGTAACGTTCAATATTTGATTTTCATGAGTGTGTACATAACAAGTGAAAAAAACTTAGCAGTCGAAATACTTACAGACTTTTCCGAAAAAAAAAAAAAAAAGTAAATTGTTTACCATACTAACAAAAACATTGATTCCAATTTGCTAACTTTTTTCTATTGTTTCTTGGAAAAATGCCTATCCAACCACAATTGCGTAAAATACAGAGAAATGACGTTTTTTATGAATACAATTACCTACGTTTATTGAAAAGTTAAACGAGCCCTACTTGATAAAGAATGAAATCGTGTGTTCGAAAATTCATTTATTTACTATTTCACTACAAATCAAGGTACTTTATGAAGCGCTTCCTAATTAACCCATTTTATTTACACTCGATTATTTATATAATGCAAAGTGATAGGGTTGAAAAAAAAAATTTTTTTTGGCCACCCAATCCTCGAACGGGAGGTTGATCGACAATTCAAAGTTCTCCAATTTTATTTTTATCGTTACCACCTCTTTATCGAACAAAATATAGTTGTATGTATCCAATAATAATGTTAAAACAACTTTCAATCAATCACATGGTACTCGAACTCGAGTCACTGTTTGCAAACGTGTACCCAACGCCATACGATTCAGGTTTGGAGTGTATGGACAACGTTTTTTCCACAGTCACCTTATTATTCGACTTCAACGATGACCTTTGGGGTTTTTTTTCCGGATGCTTTTTCACTGTTGCTTTGCTGCATATGTCCATAGCAATGGCGAATCTCTTTTCAAGAATAGCCAAGAGGGCTCCAAAACTACTCCGGCAGTAGTCTTCCACGTGTAAGTCCTGAGAAAAAGGAAAATCATTTGACATTGCTTAACCAAACAATTGTAAAAAAAAAAAAAAAAAAAAAAAAACAAAGCCGCACTTTGACGATATCCCATCGGCCGTTTGTGCAATAAACGGGAAACGAAAAATACACGCCCGGCGTAACGCCGTACGAGCCATCGGACACGACGCTCATGTTGGTCCACTCGCCATCTGGGGTGCCCTGGATTAGAAACTTGCAATGGTCCGCCAGAGCCAGTGCTTCGGACACTCTGTAGTGACATTTACTAAACAAATTGTTGATCAGCTGAAAAGTAAATTTTTTTTTTGTCTCGTTTTGTCACTTTGTTTCAATTAAATATGGCACCGTCCAATAAGGCAAACGACCTTTGGTAGCGTCTTTTTGCACCATTCGTCGTCTTTGATCACGTCTATGACGAACCTGTCTCCATCGATCTTGGCATAGTTGCAGCAGGGCAGAGCTTTTTTGCTGTTGGTCCCCCAAACAATCAAATTCTTAACGTCGCTCGCTAGTCTCTTGGTTTTTTTCGCTATCTGTTAAAAGAAGAAGAAGAAAAAAAAAAAAAAAAAAACACTGATTTTGCCTCGGTTTTTCTGACGAAAATACAGTTAGTTATAAAAAAAAGTCACGTGAAAAGTGACGAATCTCTGAATCGCCAAGGTGACCGCGGTGATGTTCTCCTTGGGCAACGAGGGCGCGTACTCGGAAATCAATCTCGCCGCTGTATTTCCTAGTGTCACGACTTTGGCGTCTTTTTTCGCGTAACTCTGTATCGCCAAGGCCTATTGGATGCCAAAACCATGAAATACAACCAAGGAAACGCGAATGACGACTGTTTTTCTCACGTTGTTCTTGGTTTCCAGGACGTAGTCCCGAAAAAACGGATCTCGGCGTATGTCAACGTCGGTGAAGTTGTAATCCCTGGCCGTTCCTATCGAAAACACGACGTCCGCGTCCTTAAATGCCACCGCGGGATCGTTCGAGTGGACGATGTCTGGGGAGTATACGTTGTCATGTTGACTTTTTTATCTCAGACAGAAACTAACCACTGCAAGCGCATGACACCTTTCAATAGTGCCGGGGCGCAGGCTGTTATCTCGATCGAAATGCTCTCCAAAAACAGGTCGCTGTTGTCGAAAAGGCACAGGATGATCTGCTGGTCCGAGCCGAAGACATCGTCGCTCAGAATGCGGTAAGCCAACGAGCGAGCTATGTAATCCGAGGCCTCGGTGATGACCACTCGGAGCGGATGTTTTGCGCTCATTGCAAGATTTTTTTTTTTGGACGGGGGGATGGAGAGGTTGTGTTTGATCAACGACGTGAAATTGCTTGCGTAGAACGACAGTGTATTTTTATATACATATACAATCACAACTGTTATGAAACATCAGGACGGAAGAAAAGAAAGAAAAAAAAAAAAAAAACAGCTAACAGTTAATGGAAAAAAAGCACTCAAGTCCTCAGATTATGCATACTCTTCTCGAGGATGTCGCGCCTGATGCGCGGGTAGTCGGGCTCGATCTTGAGCACCTCGTTGCAGGCCTCGATGGCGTCGGCAAAGTGTTTGCTCTTGAAGTGACAGTAGGCGAGTTTGTGGCCGATGGCGAGCTTCAACTTGCCGCCGTATTTCCAAGCGAGGGCGTACTTTTCGGCCGCCTCGTCGTACGACTGCTCCTTCTCGGCCACGTGGCCCAACAGCTCGTGAGCTCGTACGCAGGTCGCGTTGTGCTGGACCACTCGTTTCAGCAGTTCCGAGGCCAGGTCGTACTTGCTCGACTGCACGTAGATGTCGGCTGCAAAGGGGGATGAAAGTCGTTACGAAACAATCGCTTGAACGTTGTACACGTGAATAACATACCCAAGAGCATCCAGCAGCGTTCCAGGTACTCGGCGTCCTCGAACGTCCACGTGTTCTTGCTGACGCGTTTGAGATGGTTGCGCGCCCGGGGCGTCTGTTTCAGGAGTATGTGAGCGGTGGCGAGGCCAAGGGCCGGTCCGACGTGATCGCGCAGGCTCTCCTGGCTCGCCAGGGCCGTGCAGTCCTGCAGGGCGCGCTCGATGTTGTGCTTTTGCTTGGTAGCCAGGAGATAAAAGTTGGACAGCAGACGGTGGGTTAGCGTCTCCTGGGGATTGCCCTTGGGATTGAGCTCGTGGAGGAGCTTTTGGGCGGTCCGCAGCGCCATGCCGCGCGAATCCTCGGGCTCGGTGTCCTCGTCGTCACCGCCGGCGAACACGTCACTCGCGAGACCGTCGTCGTCAGGGTCGAGGCAGATCTCGATCATGTTGTAGATTGCCTGCTGGCCCCACTCGGGGTCCCGACGGGCCGCGTTGAAGCTGCGCAGTGCCGAGCTCACTTTGCCCGTGCGCCAGTCCAACAGACCTGAGCAGTAATAAAAGCCCGCCTCGGGCTTTGCGCCCTTGATCGCGAGCTCGGCCCGCTCCAGCCACTCGGGGAGGTCGTCTATGTTACCTGTATATAACCACGTTGAGTCATACGACGTCCTTTGATATTGATCTGCCTTGGCAATAGCTTACCAGTTCTCCGAGAGACCTCGATGAGCCGAGCTAGGGCGGTCCAGTAGGTGGGCTTTTGCAGAAGGAGTTGGCGAAAGTGAAAGGCCGCCGTGTCGAAGTCGACTTTGCGGAAGGCCAGGTCGGCCATCATCACGCAAGCCGCCTCGTTCTTTGGGTCGGCGCCCAAGAGTACCTGACAGTACTGCGCGCACTTGTCCAGCTCGTTCATCTGTTGGACCACAACAACAAAACCAGCTGCAAAACTCGCTACGTACACGTGTATTTGCGCTCACCTGCATGTGTAGCCTAGCGAGGGAGAGCAGGGCCTTGACGTCGTTCGGCTTGTAGTGGAGGACGTCCTTGTAGTGGTCGACGGCTTGGCCAAAGTCCCTGATGGACGAGGCGTGTTCGGCCATTGTGAAGCAGATGTCAGCTAGTACATGCTTTTGCTCCAGCAGATTGGGCAGCATTGTGGCGCGCTGCAGGTAGCGGGACTGGTTCTCCTTGGCCTCGTTGAGGGTGACGAGGGCGCCCCTCGGGTTACCCGCGCGCTCCCGCACCTTCGCTAAGAGGAGAAGCTGCTTGGCTCTCCTCTCCAACGAAGGTATGTCCGTCGCCCCTCGACCCACTAGAATCACCTCAAGGTTACGTATACATCCTTATACACTGATGTACACGTATCGGGCAATTACCATTCAACTCCTCGCGCAACGTGTCCTCGGCTTTGTCAAACTGCTTGAGTTTCATCAAGAGCTCGGCCAGGTCGAACTTTAGGTCACGACAGCCGTCCCGTTTGACCACCTCCTTATAGTAGTCCACCGCCTTGGCGTACTGGTGCGTTTTGACCAGAGCCGTGCCCATCTTGCGCACTAGGGTCTTGTCGTGTGGGTTGCTCTGCAGCGACAGCTCGTAAGACTCGATCGCGCGCTCGGGCTCCTGGATCGCCAGGTAAGCGTCGCCTAGCATGCTGTACGTCTCCGCACCTGGGCACTTCTCCACGAGCTCCCTGTGAAATTTCCACGATCACTTTACATGTCCCCGACGTCCTTTGTATCGTCAGTTTTTATTTTGCCACCTGAAGCACTTGGCGAACGAGTACCGGTCCTTCCTCCGCTTGAGATGTACGTCAGCCAGTTTTGTGCGCGCCTGGAGAAAGTACGGCTGACCTGGTCCGATGGCGCCGAGTAGCTCGATGGCCCGCTCGACCTCGTCCATCTCGAGGCAGAGTTCGGCGTTGCCGATGATCGCCCGGCCGGCTTCCGGTGAACCGGCCAGTTGGGTGCGGGCCTCCTCTATTACAATGCTGGCCTCGTTGAACTTGCGTTGGCACGCGTACGCTGAAACGAGCTCGAGGTACAGGCTTGCCTTGTCGCTGTTGGACAGGGCCGTGGTGGTGGCCGAACCCTCCTGGCTTTGTCGCAAACCCGCGAACGACATCGCTGCCTCCAAGTTCTTTATGGCACCTGGGAAAATGATCTTTGGGTTCACGTTTTGTTTGGCTTATTTTGTTACGCTGTGTGTCATGTATACATACCTTCGAGGTCACCGGTCTCTTTGGCCACTGTGCCGAGGATCATGTGGTACAAAGGGTCGTTCCTCACCTTAAAATTGTAGCTCAGGGCCGTTTCCAGTGTTTGCGAGGCGCTCTCATAGTGGCCCTGTTTGACTAGTACTTGGGCCATCAGTAGGTGGCCCGAGGCGTTTGTCCGATCTATCGAGTCCAGTAGCTTTTTCAGTGCCGTCGACGCCCCTGGAAGCCACGAGTTTTGGTATCAGTTGGAAAACAGTAGGTCTAACATTGAAAATAAAAAATGTACCACTAAAGTCGCCAATCTGCATTTTGACTTTCCCCAGGAGCAGTAGAGCTGCGGCCAAGCCGGGACAGGCCTCTGTGATCCTATCGAGCAGCTCAACGCACGAGCGTTTCCCATCGTCGGCCATCGAGCCACCGATTCCAGCGTCACTGATAGTCGGCGAGTGCAGCAGGTACTCCTCGACCACGTCCACGCCCAAATCCGGGTTCAACCTCTTCAAGTACTCGCAGCCGTAACACAGCCCCATGCAACCCTGAAACCATCCCTACGTTGTACGCAACAGTGTATCGATGGTAGCGTGACGTATAAACTTGCATCAATCAAAAGTTGCGCGGTTTTTGCAAGCGATTTCAGGGCCTGGTCGCCCATCAGTTTGGCTGACATGTAAAACAGCTCGGGATCCGGCGACTCTGGCCGCATCTCCATGAGAAAGTCCACCTGCTGCTTGGCCAGATCCTCGGCTGCCGAGTTGTTATCTCGCAGTTGACACCGAGCCAGGCCCACGAGGGCGTTGTACGACGTATCCTCAAGCCGCAGAGCTCCCCGGTACCAGTGCTCGGCGTCCTTGTGCTTGCCCATGCGCTGGCACAGATTGCCCAGTTCCACCAAAACCGCGCTGTTGCCTGCCTGTCTCGAGAAAGAGAGACAAAAATAGCTTTGGTGAAAGTTGGGGGAAAAAAATGAAAAAGGCTTACGTTCTGGTGGGATATCTTATCCGTGACTTTGAACAGCTCGGCGAGCACAGCCTGGTTCTTGACGGCTATCCTGGCGAACAGTTGAACGTTGTCGATCAGCAGCTCAACGTTCCTCGGCTCGGCGGCGATGAGGCTGCGAAAGAAGATCTGCACGTGTCTCGCAGCCTCGTCGTAATCACCATCCCGGCAGATGACGAGCACGGCCTTGAGCTTGAACGCGTCGACGTTGGCACTCTCGAGCACGAGTATCCTGTTGGCCGTCTCGAGGACCTGGTCCCACTCTTTCACCGCCAAGAGGTTGTTCATCTTCTCAACTAGTGGCAACGAGAGCCTTGGGTAGCGGACGACTAGCGGATTCAGGATGAGCATGGCGCCAGAGTGATCGCCCTGCAGCTCGCGAGCCTTGGCTGCACCCAGTAGGGCGTCAAAGTGTCGGCTGTTCTCCCGAAGTACTGCTTCAAAGTAGTCACCTGGTAGGAGAAAATGTTTTTTTTTTTTTTTGTTTTTTTTTCTCAAATTCCCTTACAAGTAAGATGTTAACAAAACTCGATCCGACCGGCGTCTTGATCGGGGTCGTCGAGGGCCGTCCATCCTTTGGCCAAAAGGACGTGATCGTTCGCGGGGCTGAGCTTGCCAGCTCGGTCGGCGTACTCCTTGGCCTTGTCGAGTTTTCCGAGCAGCAGCAGAACCGTGGCTGACAGGGACAGAACTTCGGCCGACGCTTTTCTCCGATCGTCGCGGATTTTCGCGTCAACCTCGACCAAGGCCGATCGGTCGGGAGCCCCCTGCTTCTTGTACACGTAGCTCTGGACGAGCAAAGCTGGCAGACTGGCTTCCGAGGTGTCGTTGGTGCACTGATAAATTTGACCATTCGTTGAATTGATTAATTGTTTTCACACCAGTGGAATGGAAAATTTGGATGATTGGATGAAACAAAGAAAAAAAGCAATCTAACCAGAGCCGAGATGTGCCTGAGTGCCTCTTTATTGTGGCCGTTCAAAGCAAGCGCCGAAGCCAAGAGGACGCGTATCCTGTCGCTGGAGGAGTAAACGTCCAGAGCTTGCTTGGCGTAGGCCAACATGTCACCGTAGTACCGTCGCGTGCAGCACCACTGAATAATACTCTCGTACTCGATTTCTTCCATCTTGATACGTGTGTGAGTTTATTTGTACAACGGATACACCGAACACAACTCAAGGCTTCTTTTCGCTGGGCAGGGAGTCCTCCGGGTCTGCCTCCTCCTCGAAAGTTTCCGGGTCCAATGACACGGGCAGTCCCAGTATGCTCTTGGGGCCCACGACTCGTTCCGTCAGTTCTGGATTTTTGTTGGCTAGATAGTACTTTTGCGTGTAAGAGCAGGTCAAGAAGAGAAGGTAGTCGTTGATTATCGCGTAAGTGAAGGCAGTCTGTGAACACACCCAAAAAATATAAGTGCACATCCGTCCTTCAACAACCGTCTATTGTGGAAAAGTGGATGTTTTACCTCAGTGAGGAGTCTGGCCAGACCTCGACCTTTGTACGCGGGTGGTACGTTGATGGCACGCAGGTCCATAACTCTATCCCGGATTTTGTAGATCAGCACGGCTTTTTCTAAACGAAAGACCAAACACCGCTTGTAAATTGCTTCGTCGGAACTGGGGAAGGAGACGTGCTAGTGTGTCAACAAACTGTTGTAAGTCTCATCGAGGACGACGTAGAACACGTTCTTGCCGAGGTTGTGGCGCACCTCGTGGAGGGACCTTGCGCAGGTGAGCTTGGTCCTAAAGCCGGAGCCCAGGAAGCCGAGGACGTTGCGGAAGATCATTTACGCTCGAGGTTGAGCATGTTGTTGGAAATATTTCTTTTTTTTTTTTTTTTCGTACAACAAGTATAATGTAGAGTTCTCGTTGTGCAGGGAACGTCTGCTGCTCTGTTTGTTGTGTGGGAAAAGGCGTTGTTTACGGCCCGATGTTGTCATGGAGACATCGAACGGCGGTGCGTGTAGATACATACATACGTGTATAAAATGAAAATGTTGGGCGTGCCGAGCCTGACGGTGTCGAAGGTATATATGTATGCATGGGGGTTTGAGACAAGTATATTAAAATTCAATGAGTAATATTAGTTTTTGTTATCAATTATTATCATTTTTTTTTTTTTTCGTCGTAAATGTCGTTCTAGAAATATTGAGAAAAATAGTAGATGAAAAGAACTGTTATCGTTAACTATATCACTATCCGATAATTTACTCTCCAAATTTTTAATCAAAATCTAAAAGTTATTAATAATAGTGAATGACAGATTATTTTCATTTTATTATATTATTTATCAAATGAAAAAAAAGAAATTAAAATTAATAACCTTTGCGGTCACTTTATTCATCGGTCTTGCGAACAAAAAAAATATTAATTATAAGTATTGAGAAGTTGCAATCACAACTTGTGATAGATAACTGTGAATAATAAATTTTATTAGTTGTCTCAAATCTAGACTTTATTTAAGTGTTATTACTCTTTGTTAAATTTTAATTTAATGTTTAAAATAATTGTTATCAATTAAGTTAATTATGTAATTTAGTTAACATAGTCTAAAATATATTACTGACGTACAGTTATAATTTTAATTATACAATTATCATCTAATCGAATAAAAATATTTCCGCTTGAGTGAGTGTAAGAAAATTTCCTTACTTATTCGACAACACACTGCATCTGCATTATTTTTAAGTATTTTAAATCGAAAAATCACTCAAGAAAGCTGTAAATAGAGTGCAAAAAATTTTCTGGGATAGGGCGTTAGCGTTTTCATTAAAATTATATGAGTAACAGTTAGAGTTTTATCGTCGCTGTCAATATGAATATTTAATGGTATACAACGTCATATTTTAGGACAGTAAATAATGTATGTAGTTCGAAGTAGAAAAAAGTGCACTGTGTGTGTATTTTTCTAAAAAATGTTTGATGATTTTTTCACTAAAATCTCAAGATTACAATAGAATAAATTTTTATATTAATAAATGTTGTCTTGCAAAAAAGAAAAAAAAACAAAAAACAGATTTTTTAGAAATAAAAATAGTTTGAGCCGCAGAAGTGCCATCACCACCGGGAATATTTTGCAGCTCGAGGTATCTGTGGAGCAAGAAGGGTAGCCCCCGGTTGGATAGCGCTTATATTTGCCAAACACCACATTTTTTCTTCCGAGGGCGCTGTAAACGTCCAAATGTCACGAAAAACGCCCCGTGGTAAAAAAAAACTCATTTTAGTTGATAAAACTACTGACTTCATACATATTTATATAAATACACGCACATTTCAGGACTCGTAAAACTGTTTCATCAGCGTTTAAAAGCTTCACGGCCGTTGGGCCCAACGAAATGCGCTCTCGATTTCACCTCTTGAACAACAATTAGGAAACATCGTACTTGTACTTGAACACTGTCAGCTTGTGGTTCAAGCATCAACATTGTGCACGCACATAGTGAAAATCATCATATCACTCGTAATTATTTACGTGAGGTGTTGGAAGAGCGCCAGTAATATATCGTCATTAAATGCACATTATTTACTAATCAGCCGCGTACACACTTATACACTCATAAAAGGCAAACTTGAATCGTTTCGAATAGAAATTCCCAAAGTTAGTGGACCGCACATTTTCAAACCGTCCCAATCTCTGGCCCAGATGGCGAGCATCAAGTTGTTGACGAGCGACGGGGAGGTGGTGAGAGCCGACCTCGAGGCGATGAGGCTCTCGAACGTCATCCGCCACATGTTGGATAATCTGGGGGCGTGTAAAGCCGACGAGGAGGAGTGCGTCCTGCCGTTGCTAAACATCGACGGGCCGACCATGAAGAAGGTCATCGAGTGGTGCGACCACCACAAGAACGACCCGGTGGTCGAGAAGCCGGTAGCATGTGACGACTTCCACAAGATTCACAAGCTACAAGACGTCGCTGTGGGCGAGTGGGATGAGAATTTCTTCAACGTACGTGCCACGTTTTTCCCCCTCTCGTGACGGTTATACAAGCGTTGAGTTGTTGAGACTGATGTGTTTCCAGGTGGACGTGGCGTCGCTGAAGAAACTGACCATGGCTGCTAATTTTTTGGACATAGAGGGTATGCTGGACAATTCGTGCAAGGTCATTGCCAGCCACATTAAGGGAAAGAGCCTGGATCATATGCGCAAGTTTTTCGGCGTCTCGAAGCATCCGGCGCATTCCATAGACGTCGACTAAGTGCGGAAACGTTACATACAATAATTTTTTATCATTATATTCAAGTATTGGACAGTTTTTCTTTTTTTTTCCTTTTGGTCTCTTTTGATAAAAATGGTGTCATTTTGTTATGCGATTTCGTGTAAACGCAGGATATGCTGAATGTGACGTCACTTAAAAATCAGTATGTATACGTACATGTATATATTTATCCCACCACGTAATAAAATAATCCGGCCAATCACGTTACGCTTCAAAAACCTTTTTTCCTTTGTTTTGTGAAACGCGATTATGCCACTTAGAGTAAACGAAGGATCTTCGATGGTGCAAATTGATAAAAATTATTAGGTTTATTAGCCATTTTTTCAGTTCAGTTTGGTTCGGTCTCGTTTAGACGGTTCTGCAATGGAAACGTCAAGAAAAACTCGCACGTGTCAAGGTGACGCCTTTACGCCCATTATAAAACATTAGATGACCTTGTCATTTAATTTCCTTGCGAAAGATAAAAAAAATAAAATAATAAACACTTGCAGAATTTTAGTTCCAAAACCGATTTACTAGATCAGTTTTACTTGGTTCGCGAACGAGAACTAAGAACGAGAACAATAAAACTCTTTTCTCGAAATCGATACTGTCATGGAAGTAAGTAAAGGACGAGACTCCAGAATATTTATTTTAAAAAATTTTTTGTGTGTTAGTATTATGAGTGTATTTTTCTGAAAAATGTTTTTCTACTTTCTAACTTGGTTTGTACAGATATTTGTTTATACACAGCGAGAATTTTTCTGTTGTTTTTCAATGTGTAATTGTTGTGGTATATTTCGGCATTTTTGTTTCGTCACTACTCGGATTTTCTCCAAAGGTTAATATATACGTATAAATGTTGACTTGAACGAATGTAAACAAAATAAACGAAAGTAAATTACGCAAGAACAGCACTTCTTACCTGTATACTAAATTTAGATGCCAAACTTCTATAACCACAACAATGTTTTTTTGGCGTTCGCATGATAAATAAACGTTAAACATGTGCCGTTGTTGTAAAGTAATAAAATTCTACAGGTTTGGATTCGTATTCAGCATCCATACTATATAAATCTAACTTTCAACTTGCTGTACCTATTTTATTGCTATCTCTATTTTGAGATCATAGCTGCTTTAAAATTGTACGGAATGTTTTTTTTTAAATACCTTATTAGTATGTGTAGCCTTACACGTATGAGGTGACTTTTACGTTACAATTTCGCAACTTTATAATATACAATGTACGTGAGAGTATTATATATTAACTTTTCACATGAGAGTATTATATATTATGTATTAACATGAACGCTTTTCGAATACGATTACACTATAGATTTGGTATAAATTATAAATTTATTGGTGCGGTGGATATCATTATGAAATAAGAGGACTTTTCAATCCTCGTTTTGAAAACGGTTAAAAAATAAGGTCTAGTTAATTATGATTTTGAAAAGCAATGCATGTGGCTTATCTCGTTGTTCGATAAGATCTAAAAATAAAAAAAAAAAATAAAAATTCTATCGAATAAACTACCCCGACAACATATAGACATAAATTATTCATCAGTTTTCAGCAAATGCATACTTATTGAATCCTGTACGTTTTAAGAGCCCCTTAATTTTAACAAATAAAAATCACTACAGTCCCTAAATTGCATTTTACTATTGGTAAGGGAAAGCAAATTAAGTGAAAAAGGTCATATAATCAAATGGAAACTCTATATCCAGGACGAGATGCGCAATGTAACGCTGAAGAGCAATGATGGCTATAGCTTTGACGTCAGCGTCAATGTGGCCGCGATGTCAAAAACCCTGGAAACGCAATTGAAGCCCCAAATAGACGTAGAAGACGACGACGCGAAGGAAACCCACACCAGCATCACCCTGTCAATGGTCAGTGGGATCATTTTGAATACCATCGTCATCTGGTGCGATTACCATCAGAACGACCCGGTCGCCGAAACTCGCCGTAATGTGGAGTCCCAAGTCAACGTGGAGGAGGTGAAGAAGAAGGAGGAAATCCCGAAAGGAAAAAAAAGATCCACGCTCAGGAGTTACAGGAAGCCGAAGGCTCCAGTAGGGTCCGGAGACAAAGCTGCATCGAGTAGTCAGGATACAGAGTTCGAGGCTTTTACCAAGATGTTGAGGATCGAGCGGAGAATGTGCGACTGGGATCGCCGACTGGTTGAGGTAACTACATGTGGAAATTTGTCTCGATTTTTCGTGGGATAGTTTATGGTCATTTGTTTTGGTTATACTTGATGATTTTAGTGTGAGTGTGGGGAGCCAAGGGGTGTTGCCGTGGCTTTTTTCATTACAATGGTCCCACCCAAGTCTTTTTTTCGATTGAGTTTACTTTCGAATCAAACGGTAATGCAACATCAAAATGGTTGTGAGGATTAATTTATGAGTTGTCTATAATAAAAAAACGCTTTTTTCTGATTTACCAGTTAAATTACTTCGTATTACATATTTGAACTGCAATATTTTACAAAAAGTTAGTACGATATTCCTTTAAAAATAATTTGAATTATAATAGGTAGTACAAATTGATTGTTTGTTCCAAAAAATTATTTAACTGTGCTGGAAAAACAAAACAAAATTTAACGCTCGATCAAATTTCTTGGGGGAACGAAGGGTTGACGTGCGAAACTTTGAAGGAAGTTGCTAGGTCTCTAGAAGCTTGTATCAATTAACATACAAGTACCGCTATAAAATAATTTTATTAACAAAAATGTAATTTTTCTTCATGTCTCCTGTGTGAAACAGTACAAGAAATTCGTGTCGCTCTTTCTGGAGCAGATGTCCCCCCTTGAAACACACATGTTTAGGATAGCTTTGCTCCATGATTTTTTTTGTTTTTTTTTACAACAATAGGACAAAATTAATAATTAATTTTATTATTTTTGGTAGTTTATATTAAAAAAAATAATGACTAATTTTTTCCTTTCAAAAAATCTCAAGAACTTGTTCATTATGTTTATTATTAGCTGTCACACATGAAGGGTTTTGAAGCTGCACGGATTGGTTGTACCTTTACCTTACTGGGCAGCCCTTACAGCAAAGCAATAAATAGCTGTGAAAATCACCATAAAATTTTTCTTCTATATAATTTTATCATGTAAACTGTGGAAAAAGGTGCCACCCTCACTGAAACTGTGTTCAAAATTTTTTCCTTATCATAAAAGACATTAGAAGTAAAATGAGCCTGGTTTTAAGTGCGTACCTCTAAAAAAAGTTAAGTGTTTTTTCTTTTACTAAAGTGGGGGGGAAAAAAACGGGATATTTTTTGTAGATTTCCTCGTGTAGCATTTACAGTGTGGTTATATTCGACTTATCTTTCTAAAAATGAGCCAAAAAGAAAATAAAAAATTTCGTATCGAAAATTCATTAATTAGCTTTAAAAGTTTTGTGAGTAAAAATTTATGTACAACTTTTGTTGCAACTATTCATTGTGTATAGCAGAATAAAATACATTAGATAAACTAAAGTGGGAATATTATCATATAAAAGGCTGCGGTAATCATCAGGCTCTCCCACTTGTTTTCCGACTCAAATAGAATCTTAGTAATAAATGGTTATTGTATATTTTATTTTTTATACAAATAATTAGTTAATAAATCTCGAAAAAAAATGAAGCCTGTTTTATTTGTTTTAGATTGGAAGTATATTTAAAAGTGAAAAAAAAAAATGGTTTACAAAACAATAAACAAAAAAACATACATAATTCTACTTTTAAAAGACTAATTTCAATCCCTTGTTACTTTTTCTTAGTAGTCTTAATGCTTATGAGTCAAGGATTGTATAAATTTACAAAACAACTATTCTTACAACTCAAAATCGTAGTAGTAGATGATAAAAAAAGTATCTAAAATTATTGTGTCACTTTTACGAAGTAACATTCTTTTTTTTAATGAAAAAATTTAGTTGGTTCATTCTTTAGTGACCACAAATAAGATTTGATAATTACATGATCAACGGTAATGATGAGAATGTAACAGAAGTGCATGAGAGACTGGCTTGGCTTATCTAGTTTTTTTTTTCAAAACTTTCCATTTCTTCCAAAATGAATTTTATTTTCAGAAAGAGGATGTTCGCTTTCTGTGCGAACTCGGTAAGGCAGCCGCGTATCTTCAGATCAAGGGACTCGTCGAGCTCGCGGCGAATGCTATTCAGCAGAAATTAATCGACCAATACCCCCCGGAGGAGCTTTTCAAGGCTTGGGTCGTGATGTCGAATCAACAATCCTCGACCAGAATTTTTTCAGCGGACGGTGCAACAGCCCACGCTGGACCGACTCATGGAGTCATCTGGCACGAGGATCGGCCGTCGAGCTCTGCTGGACATGATACAAAATTTAGGAATTTGGTACTGGAAGCCCAACAAATACCTGGATGATTTTTTTGAATTATCTATGGAGATCGTTATAGATATGTGATTTTTGTTGTTTACGGTGAATCGAATTTCTGTGTTCAAAATAACGGTACAATTCACTTATTAATGTATATAATATTAATGTTAACTTGGATGTTGGTAATATTAGCTTCGATGCCCAAACGTGTGCCAGATGATTTAATGGTTTTCGCACCTGGTGATCCTCATCTACCGGAGAAAGATAAATACCCGAAGGACTTGCGGAGCAACGTGTGATTATTTACTTGTTGGATGCAAACCAGGTGCGAATACTGTTTTGCCTGCCCTAGTGTAACCACGGGTAATGAAATCGTCGTTCGCGTGTAAGTTGAACTTCACGCTCATGGCACGAACTGTATTATTTAACATGTATGTTAGTATAACTAAACAAATAACTTATAAATTTTTTTACTTTCGGCTTTTTTTTCTTTTCTTTAAATTTTAGACTCTCACTGTCCTCTCAATGAGAAAAGTAGAGTTTGCACCTGGTGTGCAATCAATCAGGACTAGCACAAAGGATGCCTTGGTCCCGGTGCTCGGTGTTTGCAACAGTTCCTAAAATTACTGTAGTTCGATGTCCAATCGTGCATGTGTAGATACTATAGTTATGTTTACAAAAGTCCCCTAAAATATTAAAATATTTGTTTTTACATCTAGGTTTGTTTGTTCAATTATTTGTTTACAGTTGAACAAAGCGAGGGCCCAAAGAACGTTGGGTATTAATCCATAACCGTTAAAACTACTTGACAGATTTTACTGAAATTTGGGGCACTTATTCTCAACACTTCCTAAATGTCAATATCATTTGTTTTCGTTCATAAAAATTTAATATCTGTTTTTCCCCAATACTGACCACAATTAACGAATCTTTATAATTATTTTCGTACGTATGCTTGTTTTTAGTACAAAAAAGATAATGTTTTCACATTTCCGAATTTGAACGCCCTTATCACAGATGAATAATTGATAAGATCATCATGCCTCAACAACCTGAAATAAATCCGTCATTTTTAATCAATCAACTGAAAAATTGGAGTATATTTGAGAACAATAGTCTAAGGGGTGTTAATGATCCAGTATGGAAAGATATCAAAGAAGAATTAAAGTTGGACATGCTGCCGAAATCAATTTGCCTGTTTGTATACAATAACAGGCATAATTCAAAAATTATTCTAGAGGAATTTTTTAACATTAAGAAGGTGGAAAAAAAACGAAAAAAAATTGATAAGTATTGTGCAAACGTTGGAGAACAAAATCCATTTGATCTCGAAAAGTTAGTTTTTAACTTTTCAATCATAACACATGAGATAATCGATGTAAGCTTACAAAAAATGAAGGATGGATGGACCGATAAGATGTTTGCAAAAATTTGGAAAGCTCATCCTTTACCATGTGCTTATAATTTTAAAAATCAACACATCACAGCGAATGGTACTTTAAAATTGAGTGGATTTTGTAATGAATGCGGAACTGGTTTTAATGGGCAAAGTGATAACAACATTTTTAAAGATATATTGAATATCAGAATAGATGCTTTTGACACTTCAATGATATCACACAGAAAGAAAAGGAAATTACAAGGAGAATCTCGCACTTTGGTGCAAGAAAAGTAATTGACCAAAACAGCTGTGGAATATCGCGAAGAAAAGCTCTCTAAAATAACCACAAGTTTTGAACCACCAGATTTTAATTTCGCTTCCACTTTGTCAAAAGCAAGACATCAAGCAATAGATTTATTACTAGATTTTAATAAATTCAAACATGTTTCTATTACCAACAATGAATTCAGAGAAAGATGTGGCATTAGAAAACTTACATTATCCCCACTTGTTGTAGCTTATTGGACAGAAAAGCAAATGCAATTTTGGAATTCAATTTGGCACTTAGTAAAACCTTTGTCTGTAGATTCCACTGGTAGTTTAGTTTTTAAATACTCGTTCTATGAAGGCATGATTGACAAAGTCAATTATGTTTACGAAGTAGTTGTTGGATTTGCTGGAAAAATAGTTCCAATACTACAAATCATAATGACGCAGCATCATGTTTCACCAGTCAGGGAAATCTTTGACATGTGGATTGAATATGGGGCTAAGATTCCCAAAGAAATTTCGGCTGATGGATCTCTGACTCTTGGAAACGCACTAAACTTGTCCTTTAATAAATTAACTTTTAAAGCTTACAATCTCGCTTGTTTTGAAGTACTAACTGGAGAAGAAACCAATAAACTCCCTCCATGTTATTTCCGGCAAGATGTTTTTCATCTGATACATAATGTTGGAGATTGGAAATGTTTCAAAAACTGTGATCCTAATCTAGTTGATTATTACAAAAGAATTATTGGGTATCTAACTCAAGTGGAATCACTCGACGTATTTGTAAAAGTAGTTACTTCAGCTTTAATAGTTTCTAGAAGCCCACTTGATGATGAGGGATCTTTGTGTATGAAGCATAAAGAAACTTTATTTGAATTAATTAAAACATACAGTATTGATTTGGAAAATTGTGAATCTATCTTTAGTTCAAAGAAATTTATTCACAATGAAGAAATTGAAGACCCTATGAATATACAAAATAGCGACGATCATTTAATTCAGTTTATTAACATTACATTTACAGATGCTCTTTCTATGTGCTCCGTCAAAGAAAAAACATCTGCTGAGTCAAACTTTCACTTTTGCCCTGATTTTCCAACTAGATTTCAATTGCTTTGTTACAGTTTTCCTTCATGGACGAATTTAATGTCATCTTTTTATAAGTCACCAAACAGCACAGGCACGTCGGCAAGATCTGAAACTAATTTTAGATATACGAAGAGTAAAATACCTAGGCCAATCCACATTCAAAAATACATTTTAAAAGATTTGATTAAAATCAATGGGCGAATTAATAAAGCGATGACAGTAATAACCCAAATAGAACAAGACAAAAGGGTACTTCTTAGTGGTGACAAAACGTTTCAAAAACCTACAGCATTGAATCGTAAAATTGAATCAACTAAAATTGATAACGCATATAGCTTCCCAACAGCTCAATTGAATTCAACAAAAAACAACGTTTCGCATATAGAACAGAAAAAAGATATTGAAATTGAAATGGTAAAAGATAACCAGCCATATTTGAAAAAAGGAAAAAAAAATGTTGCAATCAAGTTTATATCGAAAAAAGTTAAAAATTTTGAAGAGAAAGAAATAGAAAAACATAGTAATGGAATACTCGACGAAAAAGCATACATATCATTTAATATACAATTAATACCAGTTATTCAGAATGGTTTAGTTTCAGGACCAGTATTATACAATGGAAATAACATTAATATGAACTTTACATGCGCTTTTGATAGCATAACTGAAGTCATTGCTCGTGGGTATATTCATTATCCAGTACTGCAAAATATTGTTGATAAAAATCAGCATTATGCATATTTCAGGTGTATAAAAAATTATGTAACAAAAGATTAAAATTTAAAAATGTTATACGAGAGTAGGGCACAATTGCTGTATCCCTTAGTACACTTCGAAGCAGCAGTAAAATCAAAAAATAATACTATTACAGTAAATTGCGAAAACAGTATTCCTAATTTGATAGAGAATTTGTTAAAAAAGAGTGATTTCCTGATGAAAAGATTAAGTTTTTGTGACACTTGTAATTATATAAAGGATAGTTCATACTGTTCATTTGTAATTCCATTTGAACAGACGCATTACCTTATCAGTGATCCAAACACAGGAATGAAAAACTTGGAAAGTTGTTTACAAGAGTCTTTTAAAGTAAAAACTTATAAGGATAGAATATGCAAAGAATGCAAGTCACCAAAAAAATCCAAACCAACAACAGGCGAATTATTAATAGTAGAAGTACAATTTCTTTTCACAGATATTCCCTCAATTAACAGTAATTGTCCATTACTTTTAAATTTAGAAAGTAGAAATTTTCAGTTGATCGGAGCTGTTGAACTTATTATTACCGGACAAGGATGTGTTAATCATTATGTTGCCTATGCGTATTACCAAAATAAATTTCATCGAATCGATGACATGGAACCATCAGTTAGTGAATTACAAGAAATTCCAGATAATTTAAAATTATCTGTTGTTATTTACTTAGAAATACACGAATGATTGATTACATTGATTATGTAAGTGCTGGAATAGCTGTTTACAGATGAGACAATCTGAATGCTTTTGAAATCAGCATTCCCGTATATTTATAGGATTAGTTTCTTCTTTATTCTTACAAGCAGCCTCGTTGGTCAGCTGCATTCTTAGAGGGTTTACTTCTGTTGACCTGTCAGGTTGTGAGTGACCTATTTTTTATAATGCACTAATATTGTATGCTGCTTCGATGATCACAACTGATGAGTCAAACTTGAAACTGTTTACAGAGTGAGAACTGTAGAAGTATAAGAACATGCGAAATAAAATGTGACATTGTATTTTTAAATAATTGATACTCTTTCAAATTTTTACTAACTTGTATAAATACACCTTGATTGATTTCTTCCTCCTTCTCAAGTTATGTTGAGTCAAAATTAGATGTATCCACATATAATACTATAGCCACATTGCATCATATATTATTGATTACCCACTATATTAATGAAACATTACAATAATAGTTCCAAGCCAGTGACATTGCCCAACTCGATTCGTTAAATCCAAAAAATACCGACAGCAGTAGGGGGTACTGTATCTTAATTAAAAAAACCATATTATTCCATACACGAGCATAATGTAATGTAAAGTAGTTATGCACACTTCCATACTGCCACCGGTTAGTATTTCTTGAAAATTATACATCTTCATTTTCCCATGTACAAAGATTGAATCCACATTACAGCATGTTTACAAGAGATCTGAAATGAGAAAGTATCCACAAAGTATTTTTGCTCCCTACATAGTATGTCATAACTGGAATAATTAATGTAACTTATCTGAGGTCACAGTCGTTGTTGTTGTGAAAACTATTTTTAATGAGACATTAATTTTGCTCATGTGCTGAATCCTTAAATGTTGTACACTCAAACTCGTTTCGTTTCCTTGCAAGTATCATGTATCAAAAAATTGCACTTGCTCTCACACAGCATCCCGCGGCTTGATAGATGATGATGATGAAGTCACCACCAAACCTTGCTTGTGAGGGTGAAACGACCATAGTTATCCAATGCTGGCAATTGATAACAAAGACTTGCCATCTCTGCTAAGCACCAGGTTAAAACAATCAAATCGAAAAATGGCAGCATTAACAACTGCATGCAGAGGATTGTGACGAAACTGGTGCAAACTAAACTTCTGCCTGAGTACCTGGAACAAATGTAGACGCTTGGGGTGAGTTGACTTGCAATATGAGTTGGCAGAGGAAGCATCTGTTCAAGAAAGTAATCCAATTCTTCTTCATAGTTAAATGTAAACAAAAACATGGTACAACGATTATGTGATAGTATGTAATTGTTGTGCTTCAACAACGAAATCGACGTGTTAATATAAAAAAAACCCTTTTAAGCAATGATCCCTTGATTCTTGTCAGCAAAACAATCATTCTCAGTTTGAGGAGGATAGGTGGCTGTCGCATGACTATCTACTGCATTGCAGCGCTATCAATAACTATGAAGAAGAATTGGATTACTTTCTTGAACAGATGCTTCCTCTGCCAACTGCCAACTCCTATTGCAAGTCAACTCACCCCAAGCGTCTACATTTGTTCCAGGTACTCAGGCAGAAGTTTAGTTTGCACCAGTTTCGTCACAATCCTCTGCATGCAGTTGTTAATGCTGCCATTTTTCGATTTGATTGTTTTAACCTGGTGCTTAGCAGAGATGGCAAGTCTTTGTTATCAATTGCCAGCATTGATGTCATCCAAGATAACCATGGTCGTTTCACCCTCACAAGCAAGGTTCGGTAGTGGCTTCATCATCATCATCTATCAAGCCACGGGATGCTGTGTGAGAGCAAGTGCAATTTTTTGATACATGATACTTGCAAGGAAACGAAACGAGTTTGAGTGTACAACATTTAAGGATTCAGCACATAAGCAAAATTAATGTCTCATTAAAAATAGTTTTCACAACAACAACGACTGTGACCTCAGATAAGTTACATTAATTATTCCAGTTATGACATACTATGTAGGGAGCAAAAATACTTTGTGGATACTTTCTCATTTCAGATCTCTTGTAAACATGCTGTAATGTGGATTCAATCTTTGTACATGGGAAAATGAAGAAGATGTATAATTTTCAAGAAATACTAACCGGTGGCAGTATGGAAGTGTGCATAACTACTTTACATTACATTATGCTCGTGTATGGAATAATATGGTTTTTTTAATTAAGATACAGTACCCCCTACTGCTGTCGGTATTTTTTGGATTTAACGAATCGAGTTGGGCAATGTCACTGGCTTGGAACTATTCTTGTAATGTTTCATTAATATAGTGGGTAATCAATAATATATGATGCAATGTGGCTATAGTATTATATGTGGATACATCTAATTTTGACTCAATAACNATTATTATTATTATTCTTATTATTATAGACAAAGGTTACTTGAATATTTTCAAATTTGGAACAGTAACGAACGACGTGTAGTAGTTAAAAAACCTACAGTAATATATTACTAACGTACATATAATAGATTTGTTTGATTACAATTAACTAATTATTATTGCATTTAAATATTCATTGCAGACTTCTATAAAATCGTAATTTTATAAAAATAAAGGCGAGAATAATCTCATTCGGATTATATATAAATTCAAGTTGAGCATATTTAAACTTTAGCGCCTTTGCTATGTGTGGTGTAGTACTGCAGTAGATAACTCCGATAGTGGGGACAACAGCCAAATAAAAAAACAATTATTTGCAAACTAATATTGCATATTTCGCATTTCCACATATTTTTCCTTAATCAGCAAAATATTTGCAAACGATCTAGATATGCTTAGTGTTTGCAAATTATGTCTGAGCCAAGAAAACGATAATTTTGAAGGTTCTCGCCGCAACAAAAGTTTTTTGTTAATTATAAAAAACGTAAAAACCCCACAGTTTTTTAACAAAGTTTTGCAAACGTTGCAAACAATTCCGCATTTTTTGGCATTATTAACACTTGAATACAAATATCCTCTCGCTGCGTTCGCTAAGCCGGTTTGTTCGTAACATATGCGGAATAAGAACAGTCCATAGAAATAGCACCAATGGCGTCACGCAAACCTTATTCTGCCTTCGTGTGTAAACGCGGCCTTAGTCTAGTGACGATATAGGCGTCAAATATAAATGTTAAAATAGTTCAACAACTTCGTTGCTTTTAGTTTTGCAGACAGCTATTGTTGTAAGCCTGTATATTGAGAAAAAAAATAAAACAAATAATACAGTCGATACACATTACGTGTGAGGTCTTGTTAAGTGTGTTTATTGAGCTTCATAAAAAAAAAAAAGTTTAAGGAAAACTATAAATATCCATCATTGACCTGAGAAAAAAAATTCCTAAACGCGATAGGTGAATAGATCAACTCCACTGAAGGAACGCATCCATGCATTATTGCATTATTCGCGAAGTTTCAACATATTTCAATCATTTTTTTTTTTTCATCCCCCCATAGTAAAATCGTCAGTCTTGCCATGTATGTGAATATGAAAAAAGAATTAGGATGAAGATTAGTACGTACACTGCACACCCATTGTACTTCATGCAGTGTTGTCGCGAGCAGTAATATTTGTCACCGCGCTAGAGGGCAAAGAAATACCGATACTTCATTGTTACAAATATCAGTAAGTTTGATATTAATGATATATAATTACTTGCTGTAATTCTCATCACACAGGGAACGATGGGTCGAGTTTCGATGCCAACAACGTCGTTGGATCTGACAAACCGCGCGTCCCTGATTTCCGACGTTAAACAGTACTTCACGGCATTCGGAGTATTTATCCTGAGCGACGACGAAATCGGTATTACGATTCATGTACATTTCTGCTCTTCCAACCTAGTGGTTGCTGATCGGCTAATTCACGCCTTTGGCTTTGCATTCTCTATGATAATATTTTCTTTAGACCACATTATCTCTAGTTGCAAGGGAATGATCGGTAACCCACTTACCGATTCCCAAGGAATGATTGCGTCGCTAACACTGCGATAAAGCCGTCAAAAGCCAAAACTTGTTGAACAAGTTTCCAAGTATAAACGTTGCAGGAGAAAAGAGGAGTATTTATCGAACGACACTCGTAATGTCAAAATCGATCGCAACTGCACGTTGTTTCATGTAATTGTACACTAGTGCGATTTGCGCTTAGAACTCGGTAATGACGCTCATTTCGATAAGACAGTATGACATTTGTTTCAATTTTTTTTTTCCAGCACGCGAACAAAACAGAGTCAACATAATTTTTAACCGAATCATGAATATTTCATCGAGACAAAGTGCCCTCCTAAAGTGTTCACAAGAGGGGATAGGAAGATCGTTAAAACGAAGCGACGACGTATTTTGTATACAAAAGCTTATCGTTTATTTTCAAGAAATGTTGCATTACAAAAAAGCAGACGTCGAAAATATACTGTTTATACCCTTTTGCGTTTAATTAATAAACTTTACACATAAATTTTTAATCTTTCTACAACGATAAATACTTTTCGTTAGGTGAAATGCCATTTTCTTTATTTATATTTTATTGACCTCTGCTGCTTCACATACAGTCATTTAAAAATTTTTCGACATCTCGAAAATAATTTTTTTTTTTTTTTTTTAATTCAGAGATCTTTTTTTAAAAACTAGGTTTAACCAAGTTATATACATTCTTAAGTAGTATGTAACGGCTTTTTGTACAACAAATGCATGTTATCAGTTATAACAATTATTTAATGATACAGTATATGTACTTCCACTAAACTAAATACATAGTCGTTATTGATAACAATAATTCAACGTTGATTGAAGTCGCCAAAACCGAACGCAAGAACAAAAATATTCTTGGCTAGCTTGTTTACTCACTTGTATACACGCAACGTAAGACATGTATGTTTAAAAAAAAAAAGAAAAAGTATTTTCGTTTAGTGAATAAAAACGATAAATTTGAGATTATCCTCACAACAACACAACAACAAAGATCCTATCCATTCTTTCCTTGGACGTAATAAGTTTTTTAAATCACAAAAATACATGAAATTACAAAAGTATTAGAGAGCAATAAGTTATAAATTTTACATTCGCTGTACATTAAGTTTATGTCAGTACAAGTAAGTGCATGTAAATACGTAATATATTTCATCATGTTTGACGGTATTTCAGTATTTTATTATAAAAAAAACTTACCAACTTTTGGAAACCAAATTGAATACAAAAGTTAATGTTACTAGAAGCTGAGTATATTATTGTTTATGAAAATGTATTCTGTTATAGCATATTATACATTTTCATGGATTAATAAAATGTTTAACTTTGTAACAAGTTTTTGTAACACTGAAATTACTTTAAACGGAATCAAGATTGCTAAGTATACCCATTTTTTAATTATGTACATAATATTTTTAAAGTTTAACATTTAATAATTCACTACAATCTTGATAGCATCTAATAAATATCATCATGTAAGCTAACAATACGTAGCTGATTCTTATTACTGACCTCGTTAATACAAGGTATAATTATGACAAAATAATATGCTTTATTTATAGATATAAAGCTCAAACGACTTTCATTCGCATAACATTTTATGGTAAATATTTTTTTTACCCAAGCTATATTAAAAAATACATATGGATCATCGTTATGAAAGCTACAGCTTTTAAATTAATAATTGTGATTAAAAACAGACTTTCACAGCCCTCTAGATTAATTCATTATGAATTACTATTTCTATTCATACGATTTGCAGTCAGTCAACAAGTTTGTTTTTAAACAAAACTTTAATTTAAATGTTTTAAAAAGAAGCACAAGTATAAACGAGAAGTTTACGCGATTCTTTAATAATGAGAGTGTACTAATTAGTCATTACCTTTCAGCTGTTAACAATAATCTTTCACACTGCAGTTGTGATACATCAAAAATTTGGTAATGCAGTAATGTTACGTGTTTCTTGAGTTACTGCAAATTCAGTTGAACCTCTCATGACGTAGGCATAAGTCTGCAGATAGTGAAATTCTGTTATGTAAATAACTACCAATGGTACAATGTATCCAAACCATTTGAGTAACTTGGAATACACCCACAATCTGTCCAAAAATATAGCTATTAGCAAGTAGTCCATTGTTGAGTGAAAATTGATAAGCCTCCAGGCAACTGCCACTACCCAAAAAAAGCCAGATCTCATGATCTCACTCTGCCTAATGTACAACTCATCTTTCGGAATACCCAACAAAGTATTGTCTGCTTCTAAAACGTTTTGATACAAAGAGATGTATCGGTTCCAACCGACAGAGGCTATCATGAGATGACCACTGATCAATAAAACTTTACTCCAAGCAAATCTTTTGCGCATGTTTTTGTTGATGATTTCTGCACTGATATCTTGGCTCTCCAAGCCAGGAAGTATTTTAGGCAGCTTATCATAGGATCGACGTATTGGATTTTTCGTGACAAAAAAATAAACCCCAACCATCAAAGCTATACAACCCAGACCATCGCAAATTCCATCAACCCAGTAACCAGCTGAACCAACATCGGATCTTTCCCCAGTTATGTGTTTCCTCATTCTAGCAACGTGGCCATCCAAATCATCCAACCAAGTTCTAAATTCAAAAAGAATCACACCAATTCGACGTTCGCATAAAGAACGACTGGACACGAAATACCCAGCCAACACTGCCACTAGCACGTGAAATCCACTTATCGCATTTGGCGTTATCAATGTCCAGGATTTACTGATGTGCAGCACGTGATCAACCACAGCTGCCAGTGGACTTAAAATATAAAGATTAGGATAGTCCAGTACCAAAGCCTTAACAGTCACAACGCAAAATGGATCAATGTCACACGCCAGTTTGCCGTCGTAATTCTTTTCAGATTTTATTGGTCTAATAGAATAGTTCTGCATGCGACTATAAAGTATGTAGTCCATGACAAGTAAATAAAAAACAAACGTTACCGTCAGTATCAGCAGCACTCTAGTTGCATGGGGTGGCACGATCATCTTGATTCTCGACGATGATCTTGATTTCGATTATTCTCGAGGACGCAATAAATAAAACAAAATAAAACAAACGCAAATAAAACGAATTATCATCTAATATCAGCTTTTCATTGTTTTTTGGTGCTTGAGATCATTCTCTCTTTTTGTTTTTTTAATACTGTTAAATTTCATTCAGCATGAGGGAGCGGCTTTTATTTGACACTTCCTCCTCGCCAGTCAACTACTTTATTATCTGAGATTCCAACAACATCACAAAATTCTTGCTTTGCGATAAGCCAAAAAATCCATAGCAACTACATTGATCAACTTTCACTAAATTTTCGCATCACAAAAGATGATGCTTGTGACAATGATCGCAGAACTAAAAGGAAACAGAATTTGTTTAAAACTACAATAATATTCGAACATAGACTAAATATTGTATAAATAAAGTGCATACCTAATATACAAAACTAAAGAGACTTGTTGAAAGAGAACACCATCACAAATCACGATACAACTTGGCTTTTTCATTTTTTTTTTTCGTGTGCACATAAAATAGTTACAGATTCCTTGATCCGTGCAACTTTATGGGCATACTGGACACTCGTTGTGAGCCATTGAGATTCATGCTCCAGACAGTTAGAATTAAATAATATATTCAATGATAAACTGTAACTATGAGATTTTCGTTTGTCCATCGCAAGTCGTACTCTCAACAGGCGTGCACGGTCGCGTTATCATCTAATTTTTATTGTTTATCAAAGTATGTTATTGTTTCATTGAATACAAGCAGATGTATCATCTCTCATCTGCGGTCTCATCCTTACCAGGGCTTGGATTAAGCAGTTTCACTTAACTATTTTAACCGATTAACGAATATATATTTGTTGCCTACAGCCAGCTATACATTACTTATGTTTATTTGTTGATGTTACATTTTTCTTATATTAAAGTGAACTAGCCTAAGAGAGGCATGTCCACTATCTTTATTGACATATAAATATATGTATGTATACATAAACAAACACGCATTTGCGTTTTGCGTTTCGAATCGAATCGAATTTAATCGAATATCTCGCGGCAAAGAAATCGCGGGAAGTTACAAAAATTTTCTTTGATTTCGTAAGTTGCCGAGTAATTTTTGATTTGAAAAAAATAAATTGTTTAACAATAAAAAAAAGTCATTGTTTTGAAAGCGATTAATACAATTATTGTTAATTTTTAAACACTTTTCAAGTAATTAATTAATAAATGTGAATAACTGCTTTTGTTTTCTCATCGAACTCCCGACCAAGTAGAGTCGTAAATAAGGTTTGACTTTATTGATGGTTGCTGGCAATTTTTCAAAGTACAAGGCACGTGAAAAAAAAAAAAAAAAAAAAAAAAGTAGTGGTACCGATAAAGCTACATCGATAGAGAGTATCAACAATATGCAGAGGGATGAATATATAAGATGAGCAAACACTTGGCGAATCGAAATTGCAAGAACAATTGTACGTATTTTAACTTCCTATGTGCAATTATAAAAATTTAAGAATTAAAATTGCCTGTGATTTCGAAATAATGCCGTTATTCCTCTACACATGTACCTTCCACTTAACAAAGAAAAAACTCAGAGTAACGCAAAACGTATACACAAAATACATACACCAAGTAACTCCTTGACTCCCTCAATTTTCTGTTTGTGCAGAGTTCAGCCTGTATTAACACTTTTTTCGCGCTGAACCCACGTACACACATATAGAGTCCTGCAAAAAAAAAAAAAAAAAAAAAAAAAAAAAAAAAAAGGCAAAAACAAATTCGGGGGGGGGTTTTTTAAGGGGTTTTTTTGGGGCTTAAAAAAAAAAAAAAGTTTAAGGAAAACTATAAATATCCATCATTGACCTGAGAAAAAAAATTCCTAAACGCGATAGGTGAATAGATCAACTCCACTGAAGGNAAAAAAAAAAAAACACGCGCGAGACGACAAGAGGTGAACCCTATGCGAAAAGCACCTCGTACACCCTGTCATTAAAACGTTTTTTTTCTTTTTCCCCCATCATCCCTCCCCTGCTCTTCAAGTTCAAGGCGAAATCACAACTCACTCTCACTCGATGAGAAAAAAAAAGAGCACCCCCCCCCCTCGTCCCGAGAGGTCAAACGTATCACCCTCAATCGACAACGAACACTCCCTTTATCGCCTGGCCGTCGAAAATTGGCCCGAGGAGGCATCAAGTATTCATGCGACCCGCAAAACATTAGCTCCCCAAACGGGCCGGCGAAACCGCACTTCTCTCGCCACACCACGATAAATCTGTACACTCCGCTCAAAGCTGTCGCCGCGGCAAACCGGTCGACGCGATGCAGCTCCGCTTGGCGTTGGCTTGCATTTTGCTCCTTTTGCTCGATTATTGCCCGAAAAGAGTCGGCACCCACACTCTAAACAAGATAAACCTGCCGCTCGTCTCCAAAGTTCAAGATTACTACAAGGCCAGCAGTGTCGTTTTCGTCAGCGGCATCGAAGGTATAAAAGCAGGACTTTTCGTTTGTATATAATTGATTTGTTACTGCTCACCACCAATGAAAAACGAAAAACAACAACCAACAGACATACACACGAGGTTCCACATGATCCAGCTGATCCGTGAGTTCTCGAAGCTGTACGTGGCCTCGACGATCCTTCGGTACGCCGATCTCCAGCGCTACTACCGGTCCTACTCCACCCGTAAGATCCGGCCCCTCATAGTCGTCCTGTTGAGCACCACCAGCGAGCTCGAGAATTTTCAAAGGATAACGACTCGGTACCAAATGTCCGAGGCCCTTTGGCTGCTGTTGTTCATCAATGCCGATCTCGGCGTCACGTGCCACTGGCCCCTGGGCAATTACTTCAATCTGGCCTTTGACACGGAGATGCTGGTCAAGTGCCAGGAGGACGCGATAGTCCGCGAGTGGTACGCGATCGGCCAGAACCGGACGAAGACGTACAAGTTCGCCAACTGGGAGGACTCGACGCAGGAGCTCGTCATGGCCTCGGACAAGAGCCTCTACGGCAGGAGGCGCAATCTCAACGGACTGGTACTGCGGCTGGCCATCGTCAAGGTACGCTATATGGACTTACCGATCGTTTGATTACGACAGTGACAAACACACACTCGCACGCAGGATTCCCCGTTCATAACTGTGCGGGATGGCCAGTTGAATTACGAAACGTACTTTGCCAAAGTGTTGGGCGAGCTAAGCCGGTACCTGCACTTTACGCCCCTGGTCGCCTACGAGGAGTTGTTCTTCGGCTCGTACCAAGAAGCCAGTCGGGAGTGGTCGGGCGTGATCGGTCGGGTGACGAGGGGCGAGGTTGACATCGGCCTCGACGAGTTCACCATGACCGACAAGCGCCTGGAGGCCGTGGACTTTAGCTTGCCGATATTGCGCCAGAACCACGAGATCTTCATGAGGCGACTCGAAAAGTCCAACATGCACCTGTGGGGACATTTTAGGGTGAGGTTTTATTTCCACCCCCCCCCCCACCCCAAGCACCCGCTTTTGGATATAATATAATATGGTGTGCCTATATGTGACGATATCGAAATTCCAAGGTTTACACTTCCCAAGTGTGGATGGCCATACACGGGGTGTACGTGTTGGCGTCGGTCTTGATCACCCTCATGAATTTCGTGCTGAATGACAGGCCCTTGACGCCCGGCCACTTTACCGAGAGTTACTTCAACGTGTGGGGCATTTGCTGGCAGCAGAGCTTATCGAGTAACGTGCCTTTTATTTCCCCTCATCCATCGCGTACTTTATATTATTTTATTTGACTATAACGCCCAAAATCGGTAATGTACTTGTTTTTAAAAAAATAGATTTTCCGAGCGCGTGGCCGCTGAGAATAGCCTACTACTCGATTCTGGTGAAAGCCGTGATCTTGTATGCAGTGTACAGTGCTTGTTTGATCAGTTTTCTCGCCGTGTCCGCTCCAAGCGTGCCGTTCGCGAGTCTATCCGATTTCGCGGACGATAACTCATACCAACTGGTCACCTTTCATCACGGCGCCCACTACGAATTGCTGACGGTGAGAGGAAAATTACTCGATTACATTTTCTCCTTGATTTTTGACTTTGCAAATCATCCGCTCGCATATGTTACAGACGTCGAACGATCCCTTGATAAAAAAGATAACGAACAAGTTGGCTCCGTCGCACCTTTTGCCCGAGACTCTGGCCGATGGCTTTCACATGGTATAACGACGTTATATATCAATGTATTACCCGCATTCGTTTTCTCATCAATGTGTTTTTAAAATATTAAATAATCCTCTGGTTAGCCGTGCAATCGAAAAGTTGCATTTTACGGAACATCTCTCATCCAGTCTCAAATACACAGCTATGCGCCCTGCGGTTTGGTGTCCCTGAAAACCGGGGCGATCGACAGTATCGGGATCACCCTGACCAAGAGAAGTCCCTACACGAGGATCATAAATTTCTAGTGAGTATTATACATAATATGTTTTCGCCAATGGTTTTTTTAAGCGAAAAAAAAAAAAAATGTACATATAATAAATGTTTGTCGTCAGTTTGCAAAAATTTCGGGAGGTCGGAATAATGCAGCGGTTGATCTCGCAAACGGACATAAGGCCGAATCCGCCGCGCAACGAGTTCAATCCGGTCAACGTAGAGGAGATCGCTATCGTGCTGTCGATCTTTGTCACGGGAAATTTCGTGAGCGTCATCGTGCTCATGTTGGAAAGGCTGATACATCGTAGGTGCTCGAGCAAGGGTAAACAAGCCGAGGGGGATACGACAGAGAAGGACAGCGTTGGGCCGTTTGTGCCGTTCGCGTACGTTGATTGAATGTTTTTCTTTTTTTTTCTTTTTTTTTTTTTTTACTGTTTCAGGTATAGACAGAAATGCNAATTGGTATCTATAAATAGCTAAGCAATTAGCATTGCAAGAGGTGATACAGTCATTTTAGGGTTTTTCCATATGGATAAGTGCATACGTACGTAGTGTCCTATTTTATACGATATGATAAACATACCAGGATTGAGGGAACCATCATTTGACTGGAAATATTTATTATAATTTTTACTATTCAAGAAATTGGGGATAAATTATGAGAAGTACAGGAAATGCTCGAAAAGCTGTATCGTGAG